CAGACTATAGTACAGGAACTGCTCCAGTATCTGGAGAAAGCTGATTACTCCATCAGAGAAGCACTAGTAAGAACATGAGTCAATGTATAATGTAACCTGCCCAGTAATGACTGAGTATGAACTTGTGTATCTGTCTCTTTAATTAAGTATAGAGGTTGTCAAAGAAGGGAGTGTTCATTATTATATTATTATTATTATTATTATTATTATTTATATTATTCTAGGTTCTTAAAATTGCCATATTATCCGAGAAGTATGCTAGTGACTACAGCTGGTATGTGGATACCATTTTGAATCTGATCAGACTAGCAGGAGACTACATCAGCGAAGAGGTGTGGTATCGCATCATTCAAATAGTGGTCAATAAACAGGAAGTGCAGGGATACGCTGCTAAGACCTGCTTTGAGGTAACTATGGCAACTGATTGAGTGTTTACATACCACCCACACACTAATTAATTAACTAATTAATCAATATTTTATTTTATTTTATTTTTAGGCTCTGCAAGCTCCTGCTTGTCATGAGAACATGATTAAAGTGGGCGGGTACATTCTCGGAGAGTTTGGTAACCTCATAGCTGGTGACACTCGCTCTTCTCCTCTAATCCAGTTCCAGCTGCTCCATTCAAAGTTCCCATTCTGTTCCCTCACCACTCGCTCCCTCCTCCTCTCTACTTACGTCAAGTTCATAAACCTTTATCCCGAGATTAAGACCCACATTCAAGGTGTCTTTGAACAGGACGGGCAGAGCCGTAACTCCGACCTTGAGCTCCAGCAAAGAGCAATAGAGTATCTTAAACTCTCTCATAAAGCTGACGTGGACATATTGGTGAGAGAGAGAGGGAGGGAGAGGTAGTTTTTAATTTATTATATTTTTAAAACTCTATCTGTAGGCTACCATATTTGAAGTGATGCCAGTCTTTCCAGAAAAGGATTCTCTTCTTCTTTCAAAACTCTACCAAACTGCTCCGTGGATGGCTAAACTTCACGAGTCCCCAGAGACTCAAAAACGAGAAACTGATCCAGAACCAGTGGCAGCTGCCAGGCCCACCCCTCCTTCAGCCGGAGGAGATGCATCTGATCCTATATATGGTAATATAGAGACACGCCTCTTTTAGTTATTAATAATTTGTTTCTTTTCATAGCTCAAGTTAATAAACCAAAACAAGCTTCTATATTTGGCTCTCCTGCAGCAGCCACGCCCCCAACGACCACACCCACTGCAAACGAGTTTTCTCTGATTGACGTCAGTCCAGCCCCAGCCCCTGCCCCTGTCCCTGCTCCTTCAGTGACTGCTCCTGTAGTACCAACTGAACCAGCTCCTCTTAGCCTATCGCCTGAAGCTGAACAATCATTTAAAAGGTAGTTTATTACCTATTAGTTAATTAACTACTAGTTAATTATTCACAGGTTTGTGATTAAGAACAGTGGTGTCCTGTATGAGAACCATGCTCTTCAAATTGGAGTAAATCGGAGTTAATGC